CTCAGCTTCCGAAATGAATGTTTTTTTGCACGATATCATGTAACCCGTAATGTGAGAAGCTACAGCACATGGAAATTGGTTATACACCTGCCTGGTGACCATCAGCGAGGTCTTAGTGAAATTCATAAACAGAGATTAGTCCGAAACTTGATGATCTGACCGCTGTAGACAACATCAGCACCTTAAATTTTCTGTTCACTATATGCCGCAATCAGCAACGAAACATTGGGAAACCTAGGCTGCGAACGCAGCCTAGGTTAGTTAACGGAAATTCGCGGATTGTGCCTACCTGATGAGCTTCAATAAAGACAAAACCGGTTTTGAACTGTCGAAAAGTTTCCCAGCAACCTTATGAATAGTATACTACGTCTAAAAATCAAGCGGTTTATTGCTCTAGCTTGGAAGAACAATATGGTCAGAACATTTTTACAAGGCACTGCTTCTTTGTTGCAAGATAACTTTCTCGCACGCTATGTAATACTTGTCACAAGGCCACAAGTAACATCTAAAATGGAGAATAGCGTTACGGAAAAATTAGAGTTTCGGTACAGTATGGCGCAAGAACAAATTGAAATTGATCGGTTTCGCCTCATCCTGCTGCGTACCAGTGTACAAAGAAACAAACCCAAGGAATCACTGTAAAACTCCGTTGTATTCAGTTCGTATTCCAAGCCTTTCCAACTCGAAAACAAGGTTTATTTTGTATTGCACACTAAGCTTCGCTGCAAATTGAACCGAGCATGTAGTGTCTGGAAGGTCAGACACTAGTTTGATTTTCTGCGCTACGGTTCCTCTTAAAACATTCGACTTTTGAACATGCTATTCGAAACAGCTGTTCATTCACTTCACCGTCGGATTCGCTCTGCCGCTGACACGTCATTTTGCGTGCTGACAGCTGATGAGGCGTTATTCAGGCCAGCGCAGACTGAATTCAAGTAGCGGTGGCAGCATATTTCATGGTATGTAGCGTTTTCGATTGTTCATCTAAAAAAAAACTGACGCTTTTGCAGGCCTCTTATTGAGCTTTGGTGAAGTTTTACGCTCACATTCGACTGCGATCAGAACTTGTACCTTCGGACTGATCGTGACATACAGAAGCCTGGTTCAGGTAGGCAGAAACCCTGTGCTTGCGTCTGACGTCGTTTTGAGTGAGATTGCCTAAATTTGTGTGCACAACGGTATGAAAATCAAATATACGGAAGGGAAACCATGGTCTTGTGAATACGGCAGTATGAATGGATAATATGTTATCTTGAAATATCGGCTTTTCCTAAATGGCTCTGAAGAACATGTAAAAGGTTATATCTAAGTGTCCTGAATAAAAACCGGCCACCCGATTCAGCGCAGAGTGAGGATTTCGAAACAAGAAATGTTGTTCTTTGTAGTTGGATCTTGCACTGTGAATTTCCCCGAGAATAGTAATCCAAACCTTGTGAACGCTGAACTCTTCGTCGTCATCGATGAAAGGGCATTCGTTCAGTAGTGCTAACACATGTGGTTCATTTGTGTGCCAGTCAAACGAAAGAGCTTCCTCGTGAGTGTGGGTTGCAAACACTGTGGGCCTTGGAAGGACTGATGCACAGAGCCATGTGAAAACCTAGAGGATTGTTTTACGATGAAAAACGTGTCATCCACCTGATCTTTCCAAACTTGTTCTTTCGATCACCCGTACAAAGATTTGACTGGTTTAATTCGACCCTATATTCAGCCGTGTTAGCTCAGAAATTACACGTAAAAACTTTTAGTTTAAGCGTATTTCAGTAGAAGGAGTAGACTGAACCATCGGATATCTCTACCTTGTCCCCCACCGATAACTTGATCTGTTATCATTCGAATGACTCAAGTGAACCGTTATGTGGTTCACTAATGTGGGCTACTTAATTTAAGAATTGCGACCTTGGAGGGTGTCTGACTGAAATCGTGTACACCACGAATATCCTATAAAGCCCAACTATAGTTAACAATCAGGTCGATGAAACAGTTTTGCCTGAGTATCGCGCTTTCTCAGCAGACGACAACGTTCTTAGTATAGTTATGTAATAAGAATCGAAATTGATCAAAATTTTGATGGACAGCTTCCATCTTGATGTATGCTGAAAAGTTAGATGCCCTAAAGTGAACATAAGGAAATAGAATCAACAAAAAGGGTAGTAATATTAGTGTCTTAGAAGTGTATGTTTGAATAAAAGTAATACACTACTCATAAAATTGTTGAAAACTCTTCGACTAACCTTCGACCGGTTTCGTCTTGCTGGGAGCTCATCAGGTAGGCGCGGTCCCATGATTTCCATCAATTTCATGTTCTACTTGAACCCAAATTGCACGAAATGAGCTAAATATACTCATTAGTAAACCAATTTAATTTTGCGATAGACTCACCTCAAATAAGAAATAAGATTGATTTGCAATCGAGATCTACGTCTAGCTGATGACCTCAAAGCCGGTAATGGGCTGTTGAAGAGTTTTCAGCAACCTTGTGTTAGGTGCTGGATCATGCACGATACCTAAGTTGGTGTGTAGAGTTTAGGAAACAAACCACGCTGGATACCTAAAATGTCAGCAAATCTTGTCTTGTAGCTGAAAGGTTGGAATGCTCCTCATTCACGTGATAAGCAAAACCATCTTTAAAGGACGACCCAATGTCCGTTTGGGCAAATTATTTGACAGTTCCGACAGCATTTGGAGGCGAATGTAGAGACGAAATCAAGCGTTACTTCGTCAACACATGTGTTGGTCAAAATCAGTGTCCTCTGACGTTCAGACAGAAATCATCGAAATTACTGCATGTTTAACAAAACGGTGTACGTAGTCGCAATGATCAAAGCTTTCCACAATAATCCATAGCTTACAAACTTCGTATACTTGGATTACCAGTAATTTGTGCGGAACAGGATAGTTTTTATTCGTTTCGCTAAAACTGCGCACGCTTTCGCCGAGTAATGGTTGCGCCTGAGATTTTTTCCTACACGAAGACGCATAATTATGGGGAATGGAAAAGCCTGGATTTAGCTCATCCCTTGTGAAAGGCAAAATTCATAGCTTCAGGATGAATGTGAACAAAAACACAGTAGGTTTTACTGTTCGTTTTCGGTCAGTTGAAGGAAGAAATATTGGTAGTGTAAGAGAATCTTCAGTGGAGACTTTGTCTCACAAGGGAAGCGAGTGTGTCTGCAGTGAAAGTCCGAGATTGGCATTGTAGGACATCCTTTGTGCATATCGTCATTGTCCCAAGAAATTTTCATCTGCAAAGCCGTCACTCGCGGGGCGCGTGACTCGATTCAAGTTATTGACGGATGAGTAACGCTATATCCTCTCTAAGTGCGAGTTAATCGTACTGCGGATTTGACACTCAAGGCTGAACGGTAAAGTTTTCAAACTAATAGCTGGAAGACCACCGGTCGGAGACTTTCTGGAGTTTCCAAAGATGCGCGCCTCTGATTAATGGAAACAAAGACTAAACAACTGCACAGTGCTCCTTTAGTGTAAAGTGGTTTCACGAACAGGACGGAGTATCTATGAATAGGGGACTAGTGAAGAGCAAGATGAAGGCGCAGAGGTAATGAATAAAAAGACAATTCGGCTGAAATACAGTGAATATTTACTTAGAAGCATTGGTTACTTTTGTGAACAAAAAGCTAACATCTGCAGGGAATCGAGGCAGCTACTGAAGAGTACCGACCGTGGCAGCACCCGTATGCAAACGTAGATAGACCACTTCTCGAGGGGGATGTAATTTCCAGTTAGCGGCGAGTCGTCGTATAACATATGAAGTATAAGTGTATAGCCTTCAATCTCCCATGCAACAAACCATTTTGATGGCAGGAGGAGTTCTATCTCATACATGAGCAAACTACTCAAGAGTCATCGAGAAATACACTCATTTGCAAATCAAGTTGGTTTTCACCAGAGACTCAACTGAATCTCTCGCTTATGATATTCTACAACTGAATGTGCTGCACACAGGCTGCCTCATTATTCATTTGGCACGATATTCGAGATATCGCAGTATATTTTCCTAAAGGAAACTGCTCACAAGTTTGCTGAAAACTCTTCTACAGCCCATGACCGGTTTTGCCCTTCTTGGGGCTCATCAGGTAGGTGCAGTCCCCGAGTTCCCGTCAACCTTACGTTCCACTTGAACCCAAATTGAACTGCTTTCAAGAAATACACTCATTTGACGAGTGTCCGTGGAATGGAAAAGCAAACGAACTGTTTTAAGGTTTACGAGGCTAGCTATTTTATGTCACCAAATCAAGAGGGATTATTGTGAAAAAAACATATCCAGCATGGACAAACTAAAAAAAATGAATGACGGTACAGTGAGAGCGAGTGCTCGACCGTTCCTGCATTAGTGAATGCAGTTGACTATGGTTGGCTTGAAAAATCGCTCCTTCGTCTTACTCCATGACAGTAGCGTAGATGTCAAAGGCAGTGCGGTCATCTAGGAAATGGATGATGCAATCGGTTGTGTGAACACAATAGAATAGTCAACAAAACGTAGGTTTTAACGAAACGTTCATCCTGTAAGTAAATCCCACAAACGTTGAGAGATCAGAAAGCACTGTATAGATGTTTTATTCTTATCGAGAAACATCAGTAGTGCGCATCTCACGAAAGTGCACGAGATCTCGAATCCGCGATTTCTCTGCTAGCACCACGAACGTCTAAATGTTAGACTTAATGGTTGAACATTTTCAGTACAGAAAAAATTACACATGCGGGGAAACAACAATAAAAAGTTTGTTGATAAGGACGACAGCTCCCAGAAGCGATAAGAAGAACTGACGAGATATCGACTGGCGCTTTAGAGCCGGATAGACTTATCAAACACTGAATTTCGGCGGGCGCTTTAGCGAAGCAGGTTTACGGTAATGGACGGAAAAGAAACCAAGCGAAGATGAACGCTTTCTCTCGACAGGGAATGTTGAGAGTGCTTCATGGTCAAACAGTATAGAAAACAATGCAAGCAAAAGTTGTAGAGAACAACAAAAGCAGATTTTTGAAGTAGTGTGATCCAAATTTTCGTCCTTTGTAAGGTGTGGATTGACTGTATCCAAATTGCACCCTTGAGTGTTTTCCTCAGTGAGGAATCGGAAATAGAACAACATGAGAAGAGAGCATCGTCAGTGCCTTATATTCCTTGCTGCCGGAAGATACCTCTAGTTAAACCGCGGTTGTGTGAACACAATAGAATAGTCAACAAAACGTAGGTTTTAACGAAACGTTCATCCTGTAAGTAAATCCCACAAACGTTGAGAGATCAGAAAGCACTGTATAGATGTTTCATTCTTATCGAGAAACATCAGTAGTGCGCATCTCACGAAAGTGCACGAGATCTCGAATCCGCGATTTCTCTGCTAGCACCACGAACGTTTAAATGTTAGACTTAATGGTTGAACATTTTCAGTACAGAAAGAATTACACATGCGGGGAAACAACAATAAAAAGTTTGATGATAAGGACGACAGCTCCCAGAAGCGATAAGAAGAACTGACGAGATATCGACTGGCGCTTTAGAGCCGGATAGACTTATCAAACACTGAATTTCGGCGGACGCTTTAGCGAAGCAGGTTTACGGTAATGGACGGAAAAGAAACCAAGCGAAGATGAACGCTTTCTGTCGACAGGGAATGTTGAGAGTGCTTCATGGTCAAACAGTATAGAAAACAATGCAAGCAAAAGTTGTAGAGAACAACAAAAGCAGATTTTTGAAGTAGTGTGATCCAAATTTTCGTCCTTTGTAAGGTGTGGATTGACTGTATCCAAATTGCACCCTTGAGTGTTTTCCTCAGTGAGGAATCGGAAATAGAACAACATGAGAAGAGAGCATCGTCAGTGCCTTATATTCCTTGCTGCCGGAAGATACCTCTAGTTAAACCGTTCATCACAGAGTAACTGTGTGGTATAAACAGAGGCAAACAAGTTTTTAAACATCTCTGGTTTCCTGGTTCTAAGAATAAGCCACTACACGTTTGGTGGATTTAGGAAAACAAATCTTACGTGGGGAGCCATCTTACAACCATTAAGCTATCAATCATACACGTATCCACCGAGCGGTGAGATCCGCACAACGGTGTGCTGTGTTACGAGTAATATCTCGACATTTCTGTTACCTAGAAGTATAGATTCAACAACATTTTTCAGGCGCATTCACCAACTAAAACGCAAAACTTGTTGGCAATGAAAGCAAAATCCCAAGTCGTGGAATTTCAACTGACTAGTTAAATCGAAAAGACTCCATTCCGTTTCAGGAGTGGACAGAACCACAAAGTTGATCTAAAGTCAACAGATGAATGTCGTTCAATCTACAAAACCTCCCGTCTTCCGCATTAGTCTCCAGAAAACACAACTGTTTATGAACAGCTCTGTGGAATTAAAGGTACATCTTTAATGTGAGCAATATGAACTTTGGTTGGTTTACAGATTTACACAGAATAGCTACAACAATTCCGGAAAATCAACTTCACCCTTGGCTTTGGATTTCAGCGCAACTGTCAGTCGGGTTTTCGCATTTGTTTGTCAGTTTGCCACCACTAGAAATGCCGTACTGTTCGAAACCCCCAAAAAACTTTATCCCTTTTTCTCTCATCAGATTGTTGGACACAAAGTTAACCCGGTCGTTGTCGAAATCCCATAGAAAATTGGTGTGACACACACAGTGTTCACACAAACTCGCATGAATAACATTCAAACATTCATTTGCATTGCGTCGATTGAATTGTCCCCTGAAGCTAATGACAGCGAAAAAACGATCCGCTCGATGACAAATGAATTTAGCACGAAATAAACTAGCTCACATTTGGGAAAAATAAAGTCGAACGCAAACGGTGATCAGACAAAAGTTCGGCGAGCTGTTTCGAGTAAATTCGTCCACGCTGACGAAGATTGTGAGGTGTGCAAACTTTGTTTTTATTGGCGTCGGATGCTCAAATTCAGAACTGTAATATCCCATCCCTCTGTATAAAGAACACTCCTCAGAATGTACCAAATCTGACTTGGACCATTAGAGGGCTCTGGGTACAATGCACTTCAGCTTCAAATATGGACCCGCATTTTTCAATATACCTTACTGGAAAATCCTTTCGGAGGATGGCAAAATTCTTATACATTTTCATTCAGAGTATACAAGAAAACCCTTGTTTTGTCTGCTGACTGTTTTGACCATTTCTTCTGTAGATACCTAATCGTGAACTGATGAGTTTGAATCATGGTATGTCTAGCTGGTAGATGCACTTGGTACCGAGATTCGCTCAGTGAATTTTAGTTCTTAACCCGGAGCCGACTGATGTTATTCAGGTTCCTAGAAGATTTTGAAACCGCATTAAAAATCTCCATGATAAATCACGTGATCGCCGAACTTTTAATACATTTATTAGGATACCTTAATTTACACGTCGGTTACTTGAATGCAGACATTATTGAATCCGATTGGCGAGAAAATGGTAGCTGTTTATGTGGGGAAAACAAAGTGGAACCTACGGATACTGTATCATGGGTGCAAGCGCGAGTAAAAGAATGGCTTCCACAATCTTTCAGGCTTTTATACTCAAATCCTACAAGTTGCTTCACAAAAGAGATTATCTTGGAGTGAAAATTGGATTGAAGAACGAATTAGATATTTGATTTTGTGACCCATAAATCAAAGTAACCTGTCACCAACATACTTAATGCATTACTCATAAACGAGGGATTCGGCTGGGTTCCAGATGAGTCTCTTGAAAGACCAAATTTATTGCAAATGAGTGTATTTCTCTAATGTTGTGCTGTTTTAAGTAGGACATAACGTTGACGGAAACCCGGGGACTGCGCCTACCTGATGAGCCCCAAGAAGGGCGAAACCAGTCGTGGGCTGTCGATGAATTTTCAGCAACCTTATGAATAGTGCACTAAGTATATACAAGTATCGCGATATCTCGAATATCGTATCGTAGCCTCGTGCAGCACATTCAGTAGCTTTTGGAACATCATAAACAAGAGATTCAGCTAGACTCCCAGTGAGTCTCTCAAAAAAGAAAACAAATTTGCCCGCAAATGAGCTTATTTTGCTAACCTACCACCTATTTGCGGTCATACATGATGAATGTAAACGATCAAGCACGTGAGTTCTGTCCAGTATCACATGAAAATGTCACCTGCCAGTCAAGCGGACAGATCACCAAATACAGACTTTGTATGCCACATTCTTCCTTATCAAGTAAAACAATATCCCCATTGCATTCCCTCTTAGTTATCCAGCCGAAGGAATCCTAGGGTGAATCACGACAACTCGTGCTAAAGATTAATTTTGGTTTATTGGTAGAAACGCGAAACAAACCAACCTGGCTTTTATTTGGGGGATCATGCGGAAGTTAAGAAGAGAGGCCGACAAGAACTTGGACCTTGAATTAATTCTAAAACAGTGTTTAAGTGGCAAAATGGACATCTGGTACACTCAGAATCGGTTTCCAGTTCCTACAGGCCAGAATCCATTAAGTGCCGAGTGTTGCTACGACATCGTGCGCAATCGTTTTTTATTAGTATAAATGTGACGTACGTATGTAATGTAGCGGAAACATTCTTCACCTGGGCCAGCCCAAAAAAAGGGGAAAATCGATCTCCTGGAAATTCGGGTGCCCATGGAGACTCGAACATACAAATCTGTGGAATGCAATGTGGTCACTTATGTTTGACCATGTGTAGTTAATTGCTGTTCACTTAGGGAGATCGCAAAAGCGGGAAAAATACCCAGAGTGATCGGAAAAGTGTGGTTTATGATGTCTGATTTCTACTCTTGTAATTGCTTCAATAGGCTGGCGGAAATCTTGGGAATATCTCGGGTGCTACCAGAAAAACAAGAATGAAAAACCGCACAAACTGCATGAAATTCCCTACTCAAGGAGCCCGTGGACTCAGGATCACATGCGGCGAAAAGCCAGTAGTCCCAAATTCTCCAAGTGTGCAGACAAACCGGGCTGTTAGCCCCTGACGACGTAAATTCGAACTATTTTAGAGATTCGTAAGAATTGCAGTGCTCAGTAGT